ACAACTGACAACCATGAATTTAGTTTTTTTAATGAAATCTGTATCTGAATGACCACAGGTGTAATATTTGTGATCAGAAGATGCTGTTTTAGTTTTGACTAGGAGCAGTCTCATTTAGTTTTCAGAACAAGAGTTGGTTTATTTTGGTATTATTTAATATAGCTCACTCAAAGTTCAAGTTTTCAATATTATTAGTATTTTGTCTTTTCTTTTATATACGGTTTATGTTGTTTGTTAGTGTCCATGTTGTCCCATGTTGTTTGAAACCATTTTTTTAGTTCTTGTTAGTGGAAGTGTGAACTTTTGGGAGACAGGTTAGAGACCTCATTTTTATTTACCAACTGATTACCAAGTCAAGAGCAGAAGTTGCAGCAAACTGATTGAGTTTTGGATTTCAGTATGCGGGAGTGCAAGTGAGACTTACTATCAGGTGATAAATGGAAACGGTTGTTTCTTAAAAATTGTCATATTTTCTACTAGTTTTTGAGGTTGATTTTAGTTATTTTGTGTGTTTGCGTTCATCCAATTTTTGAAAAATGAAGTGTACTCAGGTTAATCATTTGAAATCAGGAGAGTTATCTTATGAGCTTTTCATAAGAGGTAAAAATGTTCCAAATAAGACAGTTGATGATAAGAGAAAGATGTTGAAAGCTTTGTTGGACATGGAGGCCACGTTGTCTTCAAGTTTAGTCGATTTGGTTAATAATGTAGTAGATCCTGAGAAAGAGTTGTGTGAGATTAAGTTGATTATGGAGGATTTATGTATTAGTGCTCAATCAATAAATGTAGAATCAAATAAGGCTGATTTTGCTAGATTTGAGACAAGGTCTACACATTTAGATACCAGATTAGAGAATTTCCCTATAGATGATGTTGAGGAAGATGTAAAAAAGTTTGTCAATGAGTGTAAAGATGATTTGTTGTTGTTACAGGGTGATGTGTTAGAAAAACTAGAATTAACTGATGATTTAGTAAAACCATCCACTAGTAGCCCAGTTTCAGTCCCTGTAGTTCCCAGTTGTACAGTCCCAGCTCCAATAATACAGGTTTCAACTCCTGTCATTATTTCTGATCTACATTTTAAGTTTAATGGTAAAAGTAAGGCCCTTTCCACATTTTTAGAGAAAGTTAGAGATTCTGCTAGGTCTCGGAATATTTCCGAAGACATCCTGTTTCGTTCAGCCATTGAGTTATTTAAAGGTAATGCTGCTATTTGGTAGAGGAGTGTTAGAGATACAATTAATAGTTGTAATGAGTTGGTAGCCCTACTCAAATCTGCTTTTTTGCACCCAGATTATAATGATAATCTCTTCGATAAAATTAAAAATAGAAAGCAAAAAAGGAACGAATCCATAACCATTTATTCAGCAGTGATGGAAAACCTTCTTAAACGTCTGGAAACATATCCTAGTGAAGCCCAAAAAGTAAAAATAATGAGAAAAAATATTTTAGTGGACTATATTCCACTGATAGCCCTTCAAGATTTTGCTACAGTAGCAATGTTAGTAGCAACTATGAAACGTTTAGAGCAGAATGTCTTGCCCTTGTTGCAGACTACTAAAGGTCTTGCATGTATTGCAATTGATGATTCAGAAAAACCCAAAGAACAAGTTCATGTGGTGAATAATCAAACCAAGCAATATAGAAGTGGAGTAGGTAATAGACAGAACAGAGAAGAAAATTCTTCTAGGAGACCCAATCCCAAATATAAGTGTGAAAATAATAGACCCAGTTCACCAGAGAATACTGAAATATGAAATCAGTCTTTTTCATCCCCACCCCCAATGATGCAATCTTTTTCGTCCCCATCTCCATTAATGCAGTCAGTCTATTATCAAGCCCCTAGAAATCCTAAAAATATTATTTGTTTCAATTGTAATAGACCACGTCATATTTCCCGTGATTATAGAAGCAAGTCAGTATCTTGTTGGCGTTGTGGTCATAAAGGTGTGATCATATCTGCTTGTCCTAAGTGTAGTATTTCGAATAGATCTAAGTTTAATAGATCTTACAGGCCATCGTTAAATCCAATTTTTAAAAAGAAAGGTTTTGATAGTCGTCCCCATGTTAGTATTTCTGTTTTTTCTAAAAACTTTGTAGTTCTTTTAGACAGTGGTTGCACTACATCCGTTGTACAGCGTTGATACAAACCAAAAAGCAGGAAAGGAGTGGTACAGGTAAAAAAAGTTTTGCACTGTTTAGGTCATAAGGGTAAACAATTTTTTACGGTCATTTGGGTAAACCACAAGCAACAAGTCTAGCCAGATCGACAACATTTAATAAAACAAATGTTAATTTTTTTTAATAAACTGGAGGAACTTATGGTAAGATACACATTGAGTCCGGATATAATTTATAATTTAGACGAAACCGGACCAACCACGGTGCATACCCCGGTTCGTGTTATTGCAACGAAAGGAGTTAAACAAGTCAGCAGCATCACATCGGCTGAAAAAAGTGTAAATGTGACTCTAATTTGTTGTATTAATGCTATTGGTAATTGTGTACCTCTTTTAGTCGTATTTTCGTGTGTGTTTTTTAAGGAACACATGCTGAAAGGGTCTCCAATAGGTAATGTTGGGAGCGCGAATCCTAGTGGATGGTCTAACTCTACGATTTTTGTTGAGTATTTAAACCACCATATAAAACATACAAATTCAAGTACTGACATCAAATCACTACTGATTTTTAACAATCATGAGAGCCACATTTCAGTGGAAGCTTTAAATTTAGCAAAATCATCGGGAGTCCTCATGGTTACCTTTCCACCCCACACCGTCTACAAGCTAAACCGTTAGATAGGTCGGTTTTCAGGCCTCTAAAGAAATATTAAAATACAGCTTGTTCCGACTGGCTAATTGCACATCCTGCAAAAACGATGACAATCTATGACATTGCTGAGTGTTTTGGAAATGCATATCCACAGGCATTTACACATAAAAATATCCAGTCTGGTTTTACCGTTTCTGAAATTTTTCCATTCAACAGAAACATTTTCGAGGAACACGAATTTCTCCGTTCTTATCTTACGGATAGACCACTAGTTGTCAAAGAGTCAAGAGATAATCAAAATACCTCCGAAACCAATAGTTCCCCGAATATTTCTGTAGAGGGTCTAGGAATGCCTTCAGGAACAACTAGTATGTTTAATGATCCTAGTTCGTTCTTAGTATTCAATGAATTAAATCAACATAAAAGCCCCGAACAAATTTGCCCGTTTCCCAAGACAGCTGCTAGCAAATTTACGAATAAAGGAGGTAAGAAACTAGGGCGCTGTAGAATAGTTACAGATACCCCAGAGAAGAACGAGATTGAAATGATGGCGCTCCTTAAAACCACGAAGAATTTTGTTTCAAAAAAAACAAAAAGCAACCAAAATGGTTCTTGATAGTAGTTCTGATGATGATGTAATAAAAAAGCGAAATAACATGCGACGACTGACTAGATGACGTGGATTTTGCCAATGCAGAAGAGGAAGATAAAGATTTTCTTGAGTATGGCAACAAGCCCTGCGTGGAAGATTTTATTTTTGTACAAATTGCAACATAAAAGACAAATCGATATTTTGTTGCTAACGACACTATCTATGACTTGCCTGACGAAGATATGGTGATGAAACTAGGAGCCCCTTCAGTAATGGGGGGCACTGCCAGAAGAAATGCTAAGATGACATTTTCTGTCGATTTATCTGCATTTCACGTCCAATAAATAAGTGTTTTAAAGTACACATACTTATGTTCTAAAGTACCAACCTCGTGTTTACTTTGAGACGTTTAGGATATGGTGAATTTTTCTGTATTCATAAGCATATTTGCTATTAGAATTAATATTTTATTTTTTTATTTGTTTACTTAAAGATACTCTGTTTAAAACAAATCTTAGTTCGAAATAAAATTTAAAAACTACTTAAACTTGCTTTTATTTAAAAATCGTTCCAAAGTACAAGGATCTCCCGTATTCCATAATTTAGCCGTTCACTGTATTCTTTCTTCGCGGTAAATTACAGAGAGCATTATTAAGATACTATTATTTATTGATTGATATTAATGTATATTGTGTTGTCTATATTACGACTTGAGTTATAGTATTCTCTGGAAGAAATTTCGGTATCATGATGTCTGTTTATGGTAATAACTCAAAATAAAAAAAAAATGAGTAACAACAGTTTTCGTTGGGAGGGTCGAATAGGTAATAAAAACTAAAAAGACGAAAATGTTTATTTTAAATAACAAAATGCTAACAGACAAAACTCAAAAATAATATGTTTGTAAAAATAAATTGGAGAAATTTTTCTTTATTATTATATTTATTTTCGCTTCATATAAGTAACAGGCACATGAGTAAAGAAAATTTAAGATAATTTATAACGTCTATTACTAAATACACTTGACAGAAGCGTGACACTTACTACAATAAAATAACAGCTTAAACACTACTTAAAATAGGCATTATCAAGAAATATAATAATTAAAGAATTAACTATAATAATATGTTGAATATCTACTTGTTTGCGTCCTTTACATCCGATCTGTAGGGATGTAAAAAAAGGGTAGGTATACCTATATTACAACAATATAATTATACACATTCCTTGAACTCAATAAGTAATTGGTTTGTGTTAAGATTCTAAATTTACAATATAATTTTAAGACCAAACCAATATATCAAACGCCTAATCCGACATATGGTCAATCAAAAATTAATACTACACAAAAAGCAAAATTTCCAATTGTTAAAAAAAATATTCTATATTACTGAACACAATATAATTATTTTATATAAAACTTGTCTGCTAGTAAACAATCATTTTTAAAGCCATTGCATTATAATAATATATAAGTACAATAAATGCTTATTATATTCAAGTAATACCAAAGTTAAACCAAATTTCTTTAATAGATGTCCACAAGTTTTTCAACTATTTTGTAATATTGGTTGCCTACAAGTAGATTATGTCTGGAGTCTTATTAAAAGTTAAAATATTACTGTATAAACAAGACTGTAGCTTTTAAAGGACTATGGTAATTATTATTATTTAATAATAATTTTTGTCTATTCATTTTTTAAATAAAAAACTACATTTTAATGGCCTAGCACGGGTCAGTAAATACTAAATATTTACCTTTAATGTATTTGTAAATATAAACAAAGTTATGCATACCTATACAGTCATAGTATTTGGCCAGAAGCTTTTATATTCAAAAATGTTCGTGAGGTAGCCAGTTGTTTGACCAGTTCTCTGATACCAGAACGGCTTAGAACATCCTAGAATATAAGTAGGTTCCTACCAATAACAAAATATTAGCAAACGAATACCAAGACAAACTTGAGGCTGAACTGCAAACTTTGTCTTGAACTAGTGCTAAATAGTCATCTACTATCTTGGAAGGGTCTTTTGATTCGCATGTATTTAGTTTTGAAGTGATGCACTTACGTCCAGACTGGAAGTCGCTGCAACAAAATAAATTCAATTTTAAATAAATAAACTGAACGAAACAACTTTTTTAAAACTGAATTTGATCTAGGATTTTTACATTCATTGAAAAATTCTGCTCATTGAAATTAAATACTTTATTATAGTTTTTATTACTTTTTAGTGACTTGATACGTCACATATTATACCAGTAACAAGGTACATTATTAAAGTGCTCCGAAAAATTAAGATTCGTTTTAGAGGAGCTGTACCTTTTGAGAAATAAAATTTGCAAATATGTTAACCCTGTATTGCGTCATAGGCCCAAACGAGAACCTAACATTAAAAAATTCCGTGAGTAATGTCTTATTGTACAATTTTTAATATTTAAACACGATATTCCTAATGTTAGGTGGAAGTTTCGATTGATGTGAGCAATGTTCAGTTTCAAAACTATACCACAGAATAATAAACAATCAGAATGCCCACTCTCAGATGCCGCCTTTGAAGTTTTTCAGCACGCGCGCCATGTTTTAGAAGGAAACACATAACACAGACATATGATTTGTTAGGTTATGTAATTGTTTATATTTTGTTTAATTATATTTATGTTATTATATTTAATACTGTTAATATAATTGTTGTCCATGATTGCTGTAAGTCCACTAAACTAGGTTAATTTTCTATGCACACCACATAAACAACACTGGTTCCCTTTAAAACATGGCGGAACGTCTGCGCGAATGAGATGCGCGTACTTAATTTTCCATGGAGAGTGGGTGAGTGGTATTTTGATTGTTTATTATTCTCTGACTATAATTCTCTGTTTTGTCTTTTTGCTCGATGGACTATACGTAGCGTCGAAGGTATAGGTAGGTTCGGTATAACCATATGAGTTTTTGTGTTTTGATATTATACACCTACAAATGAAGCAAGTTTTAAAAATACAAAATATAATCATAATTTTATAGGGATAAATATATCAGGGATAAGGCATCCATTCTCGGTTAAAAAGGAGATAGCTCGAAAAAATGGATGAAATTGTTTTTCTCAAGACATCCTGGAAAGTGCAGAGCTCAAAAACTCAACTAAGCCAGAGCCCAAAGATTGAGTCTTACAGTTATAAGTAACTACTTCGAAAAACATCGACAGATTTTATATGAGAACGGCTTCGCAGGAAAAACCTGCAGAAATTAACATAAACGATAAAGGATGCCAGGACTGCATCACCATCAAACTGTATTGGCTAGTAAAGGTACCAAAAAACGTGGCATGTGGCAATGGCATTCCGCAACTTATAATTAGGAAAGAACAAAGGGTTAAAAGTCAGAACGGTATTATAATCTTCCAGTAGAAACAAAAATATTAATGACAGCAGAACCCTTAATAAAGTAGTAAGATCGCTTTTTCCGATTTCAAAATCCTAGACTAGCTCTTTAAATTTTTGATGTAGCTTTATCACCTTTAGATGGCATTCGAATTGTAGAAGCTGTAATGAAAAAAGATGACACTCTGTTTTGTTGCATGACCAACACCATCCATGAGATTTAACTACTTGATTAAGCAGTCTTTAGGAGTTTTTGGGTGAATCATACTAATGAACGTACCATCAACTAAGCGAGATTTGGGAAAATATTTACGCTGGTTTAAAAAAATTCAATGACCCAAAAATTTTTTTTTTTTTTCTGGATTTAAAGCAACTGTGGTATGGCTGTGGTATGCTGCCTTTGCCCCGAGTTGTCAGACACAACGAAACATTGAAACAATCGCCGAAGATTATCCTTAAACCTAACCAGAGATGCTACTTGCCACTTGCCACGTGCCACGTTACTTTGGTGGGCGCTCTCACTTAAATATTGTATACATTTATACCTTACCGTGGCCTTATTTGGTGTCCTTACCTTACTTCAGCAAAGAAATAATGAAATAAGTCATATGCGTAATCTATTAAGTTATTGTATAATGTAGCTGTCTCCCTATGAGTTTTACCAAGAAGCGTGTTAGTAGCGGATAACTTCGAGGTTCGAGGTTGTGAGCTCATACTTATATCTGGGATCATTAATCACAAACACAGGGTCATTACAAGAAGAGATTAAACGTAGATGTAATCTAGCAAAAGTTGCCACAGCAAAAATGACCAAAATATGGAAGGAATCTCAAATTTCAAGAGCGATAATAATGAGGTTGATCAACTGCTTAATATTCCCAATACTGACCTACGGATATGAATCTTGGACTCTGAGACAATCGGAGAGAAGAAAGATAGACGCCACTGAAATGTTCTGTTTGAGACGAATGTTACGAATTCCTTGGACCGACCGTAGAACAAATAATTCAATTTTAAGAGAGCTAAAAGTTAGCCAACGACTCCCTAGTAAAGTCTATCTCCAACAATTAAAATATTTTGGGCATGTTATGAGAGCAAGCACAGAAAACATGGAAAGACTCATAATACAAGGAAAGGTAGAAGGCCGAAGATCACGAGGAAGATCCCCAACAAGATGGATAGATCAAATTACAGGAATATGCCAAAGACCTATGCATGAATTAAAAGAAATGACCAGAGGCAGAGATCTCTGGAGACGGACAATACACGACATCACGTCGACCACTACACTCCCCCTGGGCAGTCAGGATTGAAGAGAGAGATGTTCTATTTTTCCTTTCTGTTACAATCTGACATTCTTGTTCAAAACAGTCATGAATTCTTGTTCTTCTTTGTTTACTTCCATGTATAGTAATTCTTCATTTACTTCTTTCGTGACGTTACTGCACCCTTCCCTTACCACACTTTCGAACGTAGAATAGAAGTAGAATACGCATTTGCTGCTCTTATGGTGCGGACCTTATTACATTTGATTGGTGTCTTTAGTCTTACTATAACTCCGTCTGGTTATTTCCAGGTGCCTTTGTTTATATCTTTTCTCGAACGAAGTTAAAATTATACAATCAATTATTCGTTATTTTTTAAGCACCAAATTTGTTCATTTTGATGGGCTCATTCTGTTATCATTCCTTTTTCTTCCTTTGAGGGAATTTTTAGTATTTTATTGACGCTTAAAATATGAAAGTATTTGCTTCACTGTTTGTGTGGTTGTAGCAATCTGCTGATTCAGCTGTTAATGCAGCGATTGTGGATTTATTTTGCTGTGTAAATACACACATCAAAATAATCTAGGGGACAAAAAACAAAATGCTAGATTACAGACTGATAACAAATATTTTTAATAAAAAGTTATAAATATGTGTCCTAAATATAAAATACCCATTTTTTCTTAGAATTATCGCAACAGCTCTTAAGAAAATTAAAAGAAAACTCCAAGTCAAAAAATGGTAACAAAAAAAATGATATAATTTGTTGCATCTCGACTCCCAACAAGGTAGCCTTTAGGTTAAGTTAGCGTAGCATATAATCTCCACGGTTGTTGATTACTGTTTTATATCTGTAAGGTAAACTCATGATCAAATGGTTAATGTCTTGCTGCGGTATTCTGTTCCACTCCCTTAAAAGACTCTCAAACAGTTTCTGTCTTGTATTGAACGAAATATTTTGTTGTAAAATGCGTCTGCCCAATACGTCCCATATATGATCAATTGGGTTTAAATCTGGGAATTAAGCAGGCCATGGTAATACCTCAATTTCATTATCTTATATGAATGCTCCTGGCAGTATTCCGTCGCGCATTGTCGTGCATTAATTGACATTAAGAACCAGCTTGTTGTACAAAGGGTACAAGAATAGGTTGGAGAATAATATCGTGATAGTCTGTTGTATTTAGATACCGTTCCAGACTAACGAGATTGGTTCTTGCACCAAGAGTGATGCCACGCCATACCATTAAACTTCCGCTTTCCTGTCTATAAACCTCCTACACGGTGATCAAATCGTTTAGCATTGCCAGAACACCTCGAAAATCTTGTTCGTCTTGCTCGTCACCTATATCTGGTGAAAATCCAAATAGGGACATATATGGGAATAACTTAGACGCCCACTCATGTTTAACGCAAGCGGCTTGTTTGTGTGCCCACTGAGAGCAAGTCGATAAGCGCGACTTCATCTAGATAAAACAGGCACGCTCACAAGTCTTCGAGCATTTAACCCTACTTTATGCAGTCTATTTCTAATGGTTTGGCCACTTACAAACACCTGATTGGTTGTTGCAGCCTTATTTGTAATTGTTATGCATTTACAGTGCGATCTCGCAAAGCCTACAACTTACAACAATAAAACGGAATAATGACATTTATGTTCGTGTGCACGACCTCAACAACGTCTCTTTTACTTCTGCCAGCTTGAAATATCCCGATTGTACGCCACTGCGATTGGCGATTTAAATTATGTCTCTCTATTATTAGCCATTTTAAAACTAAATATAAATTCACATAGACATCGAAAATCAAGAACCGATCAAGAAATATTACTTGTTATCTTATAGACAAAACGCTATTGAAGTTTTGTTAAATTTTTTATAGCCATTTTGCTCAGCATTACCATCGAAGTTGGTACAATAATCAACTAAATTTTAAAAAAGATTAAAAACATGATTTATTTATTTTTATATTTGCAGCTTACACTGAAGTAAAGCTATTAATGTCGGTGTCCTCTAGATATTTTTATGTGTGTACATTTCGACATAATATCAGGAGATTGATTAATTCCGTTTTTAAATAGACTTTTCGGTTGACACTCAAGAGAATTAAATTTTTCTCAGAAATAAACTTCGAATCTTGATAATAGCCTTTCTTTCTGTTTACTGCCGTAAACGTAATACGTAGAATCAATTGCGGGGAGCATTATATCTTTAACAATATGATTCATGTAATGCAGGGTTCGATGTATAACTGCTTTTAAATAACGTTTTGCTTGTTTTTAGAAGACATTTATACAGACCAAACAAGAATTAACAATATGATTCATGTAATGCAGGGTTCGATGTATAACTGCTTTTAAATAACGTTTTGCTTGTTTTTAGAAGACATTTATACAGACCAAACAAGAATTAGTACAAGCGAATCTAGTACTCTTTCTATTGATAGACTTAAATAATTAAATATTCTTCTGGAATAAAAATGATATACTAATTTAAGTATTTCACAGTTTTATGTATATAGTCGATTTCTTTTCATACAAGTTATTAATGTGAATGAGAACTTATTTGATAAGATTAAATTTATGATTTTTATTATTAGAAATAGAAATATAATATTTTATTATTACAATGTAACGTGACTGCAAGAAAACATATTTTCCTATGCGCCGACAATTATCGAACTTAAAATTTTCTATAATTAATGATGAGCACGTGATTTCGGCTACATTTCATCACTTACCGCGCGTGATTTTGGATGACTAACTTCATTTTATATTTGCCAGACAATTAATAATAAATTGATAGAATAACTTGGTAGTTTTAATATAACAGTAAAATTATTTGTGTTCTTTTATGAAGAGGCGTTTGACAGAGTAAGGCGTTTGACGACCAACTCATAACAATTTTGAAACTAAAGAAAATAGAAAATCGAGATAAAGAATAATAGAAACCTAGCCTAACCAGTCAGCGCATATAAAATTGATAACACATAATCGGATAACATTAAAATTAAAAGAATGGTGCGGAAGGACAGCATTCTTTCTCCATTTCTATTTTAGTTGTACTCGGAAGTTCATCATACTCGGATCATGCAATAGGTATTGTAGAAATAAATAGCTGGCGTTTTAATAAAACGCCAGCATTTATACAATCCCTATTAATAACTTAAGGTATACAGATGACACCGTATTAATGACAAGGAATATTGAAAATTTGTAGAGAATACTCTAAATACGGCAAGTTTACATTATGGTTTAAACTTGGATTAAACAATGTTTCTAATCTTTATCAAGAAATCAACAATAATGCCCAACTTATTATTGGGCGCCAAAATATCAGATGTGTTAGAACTTTAATGAATGAGATAATGAGGATAACGATAATGAATAATGATATGGTATAGAGACAGCCATTATAACTAAATGATAAGAAAAGTAGAAGTTTTCGAGACATGGCTTTACAGAAGAATCCTGAGAATATCTTTCGTAGACAAGTCACGACAGAAGAAGTCTGGCGAAGACTTTCAAAAGAAACAATATAATGAAATAAAGGACGAAAACTATAATACCGTATCTACATGGTCAGAAAAAAAACTGAAAAATATCATAGAGGGAAAGATTTTATGAAAGGATAAAAAACCGACAAATTGGAATCCGGAACATTACATATATATACTTCATCTAATTTAGATAACGACTTACGTCATTATATACGTCAGAGATCGAAGTTGACATAGTTGCCAAAGTATAAAAAAATCCTGACTCATTTTAAATCAAATAGGTCACATAATTATTGCAAAAGTATTACCATCTCTTTACAACGACTATTTAAATTCTTACTTGACATTTTTGAAATAAAACACACTAATTTTGTTCTAAAAAGAACAGATTTTATTAAATAGGTAAAAATATAAAACAAGAGGTATTCACTTTAAAATTCAAAATAATAAAGTACAAAAGTGTCAACACCGCAACTGTCAAATAAGTGTTACCAATTTATGCAAAATTTTACCTTCGTTCGATTACAGTTACAGTGTGTTTCGAACAAATGTTCTTGATAAAAACTCTTTATAATGGATTTATACATATTAAATGAAACATATTATTGTGTATTTCTTTAAGTTAACATTAATAGAAATTTTTTAAATATTATTTCTACGCGTATATAATAAAATATGCCTAGTGGCTGTAATGCCAGTGTACTCGATAAAGTGATTCTAAAAAGAACACACCTAAACCCTAAATATTTCGTGTTGGTATCATATGACGTCACAGGCTATGACGCCTATGACGTGCATCGTTATATAAATTAGATGAAGTGTATATATATATATATATATATATATATATATATATATATATAGCGTCATATCGCATCAATGATAAAATGGCGTAAAATTAAATTGTATACAAATAATAGTTTTAAAATGCGATATTGAGGATGTACACTTTTATTAATAAGGTCTATGTTTTGTCTAATCGATCACGATGGTCGTGTTCTTTTATTTCAGGAGAACGATATCTATCTGGTGCTACTTAAAAAGTTGACAGATTTGTTTGTGGTGTATTCAGTTATGTCGATAACGTCCTATATGAACATATGTGCTATACGTTATTCACTTCGATTTTATTTAAATAATTAACAACTTATAAAATAAATCAAGCTTTGCTTATAAAATTCCTACAAGTATGCTAAATTGACCTTACAGAATGACCAGCGACGAGTCTCGTTCAAAACACCATGGAGCACAAGTGAGATATGCTTGATCGACCTGTTTAGAATCGTCTGCCTTCATCATAGATCAATCATATCATTGAAAATCTGGGAATGAGAACATAACAGTTTTAACCGCTGTAATTTATATTGATAGGGCCTGAAAAATGTCAACTCTACTACCACCATAAGTGCTTCAGTTGTATCTATCTATTAGCAAACATAATTATTGATAAATTTAATTGTTTGTATACAAATGAATTTTTTATGACTTACCTACAAGTCTCTTCATCATAAGCAAACAAGGCTTTTTGCTACTTTGTTGTTTTTTGTCTCTTCTGCACGGTAGTTTTTGCACATCCTTGGATGTCTTCACCTACAGATTGAAGGCATTGGATAGCTCCACCGTTAATTAATTCTAGAAAAGCAAATTAAGATATTAAAAGAAGAAATCAAAATTATTTTTCAGCTAAATTCTTCAAGAATTTATATATATATATATATATATATATATATATATATATATATATATATTATATATATATATATATATATATATATGTGTGTGTGTTGTGTTGTGTTGTGTGTGTGTGTGTGTGTGTGTGTGTGTGTGTGATTATATAAATAATCATTTAAACTTCTTAAAAAATACCCTATCTCACCGTCAAATTATCTGAAAACTAAAAAAAGTATCCAGCAAGACCACTTATCTCTCATTAAACATTGTATGTCCAAAATTTATTTTGTCCTGCAAAATCAATTCTACAGACAAATAAATGGTGCCCCAATGAGCTCCCGACTATGTCCAATATTTGCCAATATCTTTATGAAAGACTTTGAGTGAGACGGAAGCACTATCCACATCAATGCTCAAACCCACATGGTATCTACGATATGTTGACGATCTATTCGTCATTTGGCTCCACCGCAGGGATGCAATAGTGTCTTTTCAAACCCATCTGAATGGTATGCTTGCTAGTGTCCAGTTCACGATGGAGATAAAAACTGATTCATCGCTATTGTTTCTCGACGTTATGATAAAGAAAAGCCAATCCCAAGGTTTTAATCATGCTGTTTATCGAAACCCCACCCTTACCAATCGTTACTTGCATGCCAACTCTTATTATTCCCCTTGACAAATTAATTCGGTCATTAATAACCTTCTCTCTAGATGAATACGCCGCTGCGATGGTGCAAGTAGATCCGCTAAGCTCTCTAGTGTAAAACATGCTCTCAATAAAATGGTTACCGCGAAAACCATATAAATAGGAATCTCCACAGACATCAATCACCCACTCAATTTTAACCCAAAGACTCAGACTCTCATTATAAGCTTTTCTTCGTTACATCAAAGGTGTCACTGACAAAATCGACAGAATTCTTAAAACAAGAGGAATAAAGACAATATTTACCCTCCAACAAAAACTTTTCAGTTTTGCTCGATCAGTCAAGGACAACATTACAAATGGATGATTTCTTCAGGGCATTTCGTTTGAGGTAATAAAACCATTTATGTTAAGGCGACTAGAGAACACTCAGACATTAAAAGAAATAAAACTTATTTCTTTTAAAAAATAAATAAAGAAACTCCTAAAGAAGTTCCGACTCGATCATCGGTCCTTGGGCGTTGTTACATTTGTGGTCAAGCAAGGAATAAGAGCACAAGAAAATGGTGCAGCAGCTGTGATTAGTGTACTTGCCCAAGAAATTAAAGTAAATATTTGTACATTGGGCTGAAATCAAACAAAACATGCAGTATGAATTAGATTAGTATATTATATTTAGAATATTAATGGGCGTAGTTTGATTTGTAGTAACTTGGATTGTCGCCCTTATCTGTGCTTATAGTATGTATTACTTTTTTCATTTTCATGAAACTTTCATTTTTCAAAACTACTTATAAAATAAAGCCAATTATAGATTTCAGTAATAATAATAGAACCATACTAAAACAAAAACACGGTTTTTAAATAACATTGCGTTTTCAGAGCTCCAGGTAAAACAATGGAGCGCGTATACAGGAGGCTTATGGTTACAGATTAGAGTTTTAAGAGTTTTTATATTCGTTGAGGGTACTGAAAAAGAAACAGGTCTTAGGAACCCAAATATCAAATACCACAATGTAAAGTAAAAGTAAAATACTTACTCATAATGCGATCGGCATTGTTTTCGCAGAAGAAAGTATTTGTGTCATCGACGAGGGAAAGTGTTTTATCAACGGTGCGTTTTTCATCGCTGTCGAAACATTTCTCAAGAGAAGTTACAAAAGGGTTGATACACCCATGAACGTCAGGCCAAACCTTACAGTATTTCTTAAAAAAGGCAGGGAGCTCGCCAGTTCGTGCAGCACCAGAAAATGTGTTACCAAGTTTATCTGTACTGAAATCGACTTTGCTTTCCAGGCATTTTTCAGTCTGAGCATACAGTTGCTAAAAAATAAACAAATTTATTACTAAAGTGGACCTCAAATTAAAAAATAAATACATAAAGAAAGGTCTGTCTTTTTTTACAAAATATATTTTTTTACATATTTTATTAATTGTAATCGGTTTCTACAAATAAAAAGAGTAATAATCAATAAGTTTTCACGTAATTAACACAGGAGAGATCCGTCCAGTTACAAAAATCCTTCGAGCTAAATTTTTAATATATATAAATATTTGAAATATAAAAAAACACTTTACAAAGTCATTTTACCAGCGTAGCTGGTAACGTAACAGTTACCAGCTGAAGTCCGTTTGAAGAGGTTTACTCTCCGGACGCTGGAACTCACTTAAGACATGGGTGTATGTTACCCAAAGGTAAATTTAATTTAATATTAAACATCAAATATTAATAACAACATTATGTACAATATTTTGTAACCTTATGTATTTTAAAGGGTTTTTACCCTGATATTTTAGTGGTTCAGGCATGTTAACTTGCATTTTTAAACCTGATGATGGAATTATCATTCCGAAAACGTTCGTGTATGTGATGTAGCCCTTTTAAGTGTTTTTTTAAATATACCCATTTACAAAGATCTAACTTCTTTTTTATTTTTAAATGACGGGTGTCGAAAATTTTCAATTGGTAATCTATTCAAAAAATCTTGCTCCGGTAAAGATTAATGGCAGCAAATTAACGTTTTGTTGTTTGCTATATTCCTTTTTGTATTTTAGATATATGCTACTAGTATTATTTACTAAAATTTTTTAATAACCAGAAAGCAACAAGTGGGTTGATATATTCGTATATAGAAATAAGATTCTCTCTCTTATACCAGTGTTACTGACCTGAAGAGACTGAGTTACTTCCGGATGTCCAGCTTGTTCACATTTCTGTTTCATTAATGCTGGGAGCTGCTGTATCATAAGTTGTGCTTGCTGCAAGTATGCACTTGCATCTTGTTCATTTCTACCGCTACCAAATGGATCACCACTGCCGCTACCAAATGGACTATTTCCATTGCCACCAAACGGACTATTTCCACCGTTACCAAAATTTAATCCCGGTTGATTTATATTCCCAAAGTTGTCCGGTTGACCAAAATTATTCTGGGTGTAAGCGCAACCTGAAAAAAAAAATGTGCAATTAATATTTTTGTGTATTACTATTTACAGAGAAATATATTTTAAATTTTAAAAAATATGTAAAAAATTACATCTATTGAAAAATTTAAAAATAACTTTATTACGGTAAGAATTGGTAAGTTTAGTAACATATATGTTTGCAATATTATACATAATAACCTTGTAGATAAAAATTTTCAGGGTTAAACAATCTTGCAACAACAACAAAAATTTTGCAATAACTATTAAGTGGTATCTATTTCTTGAAATTTTTGTAGCTAAATACACTAGTTTACAACCAATTTGCAACTCGAATGAAAAATTGTGTTTTTTGTTAATTTTGGCTCTCTGAACATGAATATGATGATAAAAACTTCCTAACACGTAAGATTTTTGAGATATGATTTTTTCAAGTATTTTACTAAAACAATTTTAAAGTCATTTGTAATATATCCGAGCGAAATGTTATCAAATTAACGTTTTTTTTTTAAATATTGTGCATACTTTGCCAACACGGGGATGATAAATTTTACGAATAACACAGTATTTACTACCCATTTAAACCTATATATTAAATTTCTTTGTTCTCCCGAGCCGCATCTATATTTAGATGGCCGATGGTCAACGATAATTTCGCCATCGTTTCTCGACTTTTCGATTTTCTATAGAATGCTACAAGTATGGAACGGCTGTAAAGCAGCTTGTCGGTAATCACACCCTCAGTGTTGGTTTATCACGGATAGTGGTATTACATCAAAAAGCCAAAGTGTATGGAATAAAGTTAGTTGACGCTAGTAAAGAACATCTTCGAATTAAGTATGTGGGATAGTACAAAAATGTCCAAAGTACAGAAACGTGGTTGTGTTAACCCCGTGGATAGTTTTTGCTACGTATATGGTCAGTTTACTCCTAAATCGCAGAAAAGGACAATTAATAAGATGACAAAAGTAGCTTACCATAAGTATGTTGGATGTGTTATTGGCGATCAAGATCGGGATTGGGCTCCTCGCATATGCTGCCAAACCTGTGCAGCAAATCTAAGTAATTGGTTAAGTGGTAAACGCTTTTCTATGCCGTTTGCAGTTCCGATGATTTGGCGCGAACCATCAAATTATTTTAACGACTGTTACTTCTGCATGGCAAAATGTCTGGGTTTTCAAGGAAGAACAAGCATAAAATTGAATATCCAGATATTCCCTCAGCAATAAAACCGGTTGTTCATGGAAAAGATTTACTAGCTCCATGACCCCCGGCAAATTAGGAGGAAGATTTGAAAATGTATGACGATAAAAGCGAATACAATGATGTATCAGGAACGGACGATTCTTATTTTACCGAAAGTGACGATAAATCACCCCATTTCATCCAACAAACTGAATTTAATGATTTAGTTCAAGACCTTTACTTGACCAAAGAACATGCTGCACTTTTAGGTTCTTGATTACAACAATGGAATTTACTAGCCAGTGCAACCGAAGTTACAATATTTACGAACCGTAATCAGGAGCTATCCTCGTTTTTTACTATGAAGGCTAAAATGTGTGTTTGTGTTAATCCAAATAGTGTTATGGAAAAATTAGAATTTACACATAACCCAGAAGAATGGCGTTTGTTTATAAATTCTTTTAAATCATAATGACAACAAAAGACCATCTATTCCTTTTGCGCATGCAGTTGATATGAAAGAAAATCACGAAAGTATGTCGCTGATCCTAAATGCAGTAAGCACTATAATACATAGAAGTAGTGACAAATATGTGTTGACTTAAAAGTCATCGGATTATTACTAGGTCTTCAGGGAGGATTTACAAAATTTTGCTGTTTTCTTTGTCTTTGGGACAGTAGAGCAACACAGAGCCATTACCAAGTTAAAGAATGGTCACCAAGAGATCAGTACATTTCAGGTCAAGCTAACTTAAAGAATATACCGTTGATCCCAAAAACGTTCTGTCACCTCCGTTACATATTAAACTGGAATTAATTAAAAATTTAGTTAAAACATTAGATAGAGAAAGAAAAGTGTTTAAATACCTTACACAAATTTTCCTAAGCTAAGCGCTAAGATATTTATTTGACCACAAATCAGAAAAATACTGATGGATCAACAGTTTAATGAAAAATTAAGTGATGTTGACTTAGCTGCGTGGATTTAAAAAAAATTGTTTTAGGGTTTTTTCGGAAACAAAAAAGCAAATGTTGTAGAAGAACTACTTAAAAATTACTGCAAAATGGGCTGTCGCATGTCTCTAAAAATACACTTTCTGCACTCCCATTTAAATTTCCACCAAAGGAGAAAGGTCCACCAGGATATTCTCACAATGGAGCAACGCTACCAGGGAACGTGGAATGCAGCAATGATGGAAGATTACTGTTGGTTCCTCATGAGAGAAAGTGATACAGAGTATAAAAGGAAATCAGCGTTTGCACAGAATTTGTGTATAAAAGACTAACCATAGATTTTGTTTATAGTTCTGGACTTATTTGTATATAGTATATAAGAATGTTTATAATCATCATCATCATCATCATCATCACTTGCTCGACAACCCTTTTTGGGTCTTGGCCTGTTCAAGAATTCTTCTGCATTCTGACCTGTTTCGTGTTTTTTTTTTCCAGTTTTTAATTTTTAATGTTGTTATATCATTTTCTATTTGTTCTACGTATCTCAGCTTCGGTCTTCCTCTTGTTCTTTTTCCTACTGGCACTTGTTTGAATATTTTGTTTGGTATTTCGCCTTCTTCCATTCTTTCCACATGTCCAATCCAACGTAGCCTTCCTATTTTAATGAATGTTATGATATCCGGATCCTGGTATATGTTGTATAGTTCAAAGTTATACCTCCTCCGCCAAATCCCGTTTTCTTTTGTGCCCTTATATATGTGTCGCAAGATTTTTCTTTCAAAGGTGGCTAATAACGTTTCCTCCCTTTTAGAGAGTGTCCAGGTTTCTGAACCATATGTGAGTACCGGTCTTATTAAGGTTTTGTATATTTGGCATTTTGTTTTTCTGGAGACGTTATCTGATCTTAGTTGCCTAATTAAGCCATGGTAACATTTATTAGCAATAAATATTCTCGTCTTCACTTCCTCTGCAACGTTGTTATCAGACGTAACTAGGGATCCTAAGTATGTAAAGTTTTTTACCGCCTCAATGTTGTATTCTCCTATTGTTAAATTTGGCAGCTGCCTTATTTGTGCGTTTTTATTTGCAGGCATATATTAAGAATGTTTATAATAAATAACATTATTTGATGCATTCTATATCTCAAAATATATACGTGGTGAGAAAGTTTGTTGTTTGAATTCGCAATCATGATGCTTTAAACCCCCCGGTATAGCCATCAGTCGCAACTTTTTTTTTTAATTTGTTGACTAGTGATATTATTGGTAATATCGTCCCCATTCTGACGTAAAATTCAAGTTTTTTGTGCGTTTTAAGTAAAGTTAATTAAATATTAAAACTTAATAATTTTCAAAAAAAAAAACGAAAAAAAGTGGAACACATCTGTCAAATTCAAACCAAATATTAATAATAAAATATAATTGAATATCATTTGATAGTAAATTTAATATATATATATATATATATATATATATATATATATATATATATATATATATATTGTAGTCTTATTTGAATTTCGCGCCATTGACAGATCTGATTGTCACTCAATTTGAAAAAAAAGAAGATAACCACACACTTTATGTTTAGACTCGACACTTGTGATTATGAATTATGGCCATCTGAATGTTATGAAAACTATTATGTCGAATTATGTACAATTAGTGTTTCTTTCCGCTAAATAAACTTAAGAAAACTAGAACAATATTATTTATTAACGGAGCCTAAAGAATCAGAAGTGGGATTACGTGGATCGCCGATATTTTTGCAGATTTAAAAATTGTGTTTAGTATTGACGATAGCCATGCCGGGATCAGACACCGAAATTGAAAATACAAGTGGAAACACCGTCGCTCAGGCGAGTATAGCTGAAATTGTTCATACAGCGGTACAGGCAATCCTCGATTATGAAGAGAAAAAGAAAATTGCCGGTCCAGAAAATCAGATGCCGACACATAACCCCATAAAAATTACTAACAGTGAATTATCAAATTTAATGCCGGAATTTTCAGGCACAGACAAAAGCCAGAATGTTGCAATATGGTTAGAAAGAATAGAAAAAATCAAAACTGTGTATAATGTTCCAACTGATATTTTACAACTGTTAGTCATTGGAAAATTGACCGGAAAAGCGAAGGAATGGTACCTCAGCAAACCAAATTTAATTTCCACAGATTGGACAGGTTTAAAAAATGAAATTAGGAGAATGTATGGGAGAACTTATGATCCAGTGTCGTCGAGAAGAAAGATGGAGACTAGAAGGTGGAAAAAGAGTGAAAGCTTTTCAGCATATTTCCATGACAAACTGTTACTGGGCAACGAAGCAGGAGTTGAGGATGAAGATATGATACATTATCTGATTGATGGGTTTGATGATCGCCTACTTCAAAATCAAGCCAAAATGATGTTATCCACACTCAATAGCACTGAAGATTTATATAAGTTAATGGGGAGTGTTGTTAAAGATGAGGTATCAGGAAGTGGACAAAGGTTTGCTACAGCATCAAGTTATAGGGTAAGTTCTAGCTAGAACCAACCTCATACAGCAACACAGGGTCGGATGCCAGTTCCTGTAAAATGCTTTAATTGTGGTCGTACCGGACACAAAGTGACAGAGTGCAGACAAGCCAAGCGTGATAGGGGATCATGTTTTAGATGTGGAAGCAAAGATCATATGGTAAGAGACTGTCCTAATAGAAACCAGCAAGTGGTGCAACAAGTTGCAGATTCAACTACCCGAGATAGTAATGGAGCCATGGGTCTAGTGGAACGTCCTATGAGCCAAACGGATCCTTTTGTATTAAACCTGGTTCTAGATAAGTATAGCATAACATTAAATGGTATAATAGATACAGGGAGTCCAATATCATTGATATCAGAA